CTATAATGGGTACTATGGGTTTCCGAGATCTCGGAAACCCTTCTTCGGAAACTCTTAAAGGGTTTCCTATAGTAACAAACTCGGAAACCCTCTAAGGGTTTTCGAGAATACCTATTTTTTTTAGAGTGTAGGGGTGGGAAGTTACCGTTACCGTTCCCAGGTAACGGTAACTCATCCGTAACCAGTTACCCGGGAACGGTAACGGCCCGTTACCAGTTACCGAGGAACGCGGTAACGGCCATACTATTGGGGGTACCCTTGGATCCTGAAGTCCTATTATTGGAAGGTACCCTTGGGTCCTTAAGTGCTACTATTAGAGGGTACCCTTGGGTCCTCAACTTCTATTATGAGGAAGTATCCTTGGGTCCTCAAGTCCTATATTTGGCGGATGTGGGTGTGGATGTGGGTGTGGGTGTGGGTGTGTGGGTGTGTGGGTGTGTGGGTGTGGATGTAGGTGTGGGTGTGGGGTGTGGGCGTGTGGGTGCGGATGTAGGTGTGAGTGTAGGGTGTCGTTATGAATAGAATGAATACCTACACGCACACTCACACCTGCACCCACACCTACATCCACACCCACACCCACATCCGCCAAATATAGGACTAGAGGACCGAAAGGTACCTCTCAATAATAGGGCTTGAGGACCCAAGGGTACCTTCGAATAGTAGCACTTGAGGACCCAAGGGTACCTCCCAATAACAGGAGTTGATGACCCAAAGGTATCCCTAATAGTAGGACTTGAGGACCCCAGGATACCTCTCAATAATAGGACTTGAGGACCGAAGGATACCTTCCAATAATAGGACTTGAGGACCCAAGGGTATCTTCGAATAGTAGCACTTGAAGACCCAAGGGTACCCCCCATTGGTAGCACTTGAGGACCCAAGGGTACCCCCAATAATAGGACTTGAGGACCCAAGGTTACCTTCCAATAATGTTACTTGGGGATCCAAGGGTATCCCTCAATAATAGGACTTGAGGACCTAAGGGTACCCCCCCCCCCCCAATAGTAGCACTTGAGGACCCAAGGGTACCTCCCAATAATAGAACTTGTGGACCCAAAGGTACCCCCAGTAGTAGGACTTGAGGACCCAAGGGTATCCCCCAATAGTAGGACTTGGGGCCCCAAGGGTATCCCTAATTATGGATACCTGCTTTATATCAAAATATAGTTTTAAACATACACTACTATGCAAGTGAACCAGTAACCGGCCTGAACCGGTTACCGGTTCACACTGGTTACCGGTTACCGGTTCGACGGTTACCGATTCCTACGATCAAGCGGTCACTGATCGTCACCGTTGCATCCCTAATGACCAGTCATGACTGGGTACCAGTCCGACTGGGTACCAGTCATGACTGGGTACCCAGTCCGACTGGACTGGTGCATACCTACTAGGGACGGGAACGCTTGTCAAAATCGCATTTCCACGCTATATTTCAACATGGCGAGGTCTCTAGACATATCCACTTTTCTTTTTACGTTTGAGTGTTCAGCGTTCCCCGTTCCCCGTTCCCGAGAACGGGGAAAGGGGTAGCGTTCCCGTTCTTGGGAACGCGGAACGGGGTAGCGTTCCCCGTTCTTGAGAACGCGGAACGCTGAACACTCAAACACAAAAAGAAAAGTGGATGCGTCTAGAGATCTCGCCATGTTGAAATATAGCGTGGAAATGCGATTTTGACAAGCGTTCCCGTTCCTAGGAACGGAACGCTGAGGAACGGGGAACGCTGACACCCCTAATCACGTCTTAATCATTGTTTACTGGCACATATTTATAAAGAAAAACTTGATGAAATAGATCGAAATCAAATCATGCCAACATTTATATCATCAAATGAACAGAGACAGGCGTTGTTTAGACTGATGTTTTAATTAAAAATAAATTATCCTTATGGTTTAAGAAATTTTGTCTTCCAGCAAAGATTGTGAAATTTTGTTGATAGACATCAGCAAAATCAAGAGAGCAGTTTTTTGATAACAACAACACGAAACAGTCTGAAAATGACATATCTTATGGAGTCCGTCAGGCGCCATTGGGCTCATGCGCGAGAAACTATTTGAAGACGAAAATTACACTTGAACTGAGCCTCACCTAATTTTGAAACATTTCGCCGCCCCTGCTTTGAATTATGATTTATAATTAGCACAAAACATTGGCTTTGACGTTTGTGGCTACTTTTATATAAAATTAGCACAAATTTGAATTCTAGTTCATAATTGGGATAAAATTTTCGCCTTGAGTTTGTCAGCTATTTTTCTATAAAATTAACGAAAAATAGAATTATAATGTATAGTTGGGGTCAAATTCTCGGTTTGGCCTTTTGGGTTACATGAGTGCCAGCGAAATATTTTTCGCAAATCTGACTTGTTTTCAAACTCGATTTGGGCAACTACGTGAATCGGTGCTATTTTCGATTTTTAGTGGATTTTTTCATGAATATGGTGTACATTTGGTTTAGCTGTACGGAGGATAGAGTGAGCGTTCAAGCAAGACAATGTTGGTAAAGTGAACACACACTAGCCATTCGGACTGTTAATAAACTGCTTATGAATGTTTCATTTATTTCCGCTTTGAAAGCCAAAATTTATCATATTAATCTGTGAGAAATTCGTTTGGAACGCTTATATCTACTACTAACCAGCGGTTCAAGCAAATGTAATGACTAGTTCTTCAACTAATATCATACTAATAAAATTTCGATAAGAACTGATTTTGTGTAAAACTTCACAAACTGATGAGACAAATTAAATATTTCAATCACTTAATACATTATATTAAAAAACAAAATATACCACAAGATGAAGCGTGAAAAGCTGTACAATTTTTAGAGAACCGTTTATTTTATATATGGAATAAGAAAAAAATGGTTTTTTCGGGCTAGCGAAAATTTGTTGTACAGAATTTTGGTGTTTTTTTTTAAACAAGAAGTACACAGTTAAAATAAGCTTTGTAGATTGTAGAGCTTTTCACGCTACATCTTGTGATGTATTTTGTTTTTTTTAAATAAAAGATATCAGGCAACAAAAAATCAAATAAGAAAAAATGAATTCATCTTGCACCAAAATATATCGTTTCCGCACGGTTCAAAATTGGTCACTCAAAATATTGTTCATCTTGAAAACAAAAAAAGTGCAACTATAAAATAAGCAGTCGCGTGTGAAATGTAGAGGTTTTCACACTACATCTTGTGGTGTATTTTGTTTTTTAATACAATGTATTACGTGATTGAAATATTTAATTTGCCTGATTAGTTAGTGAAGTTTTACACAAAATCAGTTCTTATCGAAATTTTATTAGTATGATATTAGTTGAAGAGTGATCATATATCATGGGAAAATAGAGCTTCACTTACTCTACCATCTCATAAAAAAATTAATCTTTCTTGAAGCCTTCTAAACGAAAATAAGGTATCTCGCTCATTACTTTTGGATTGCCCTAAGAAAGATATAAGAACTTTGATCAGCGAGTATTTTGATCCTAGATTTAAGCTACACTTCAGGTATATTTGAGGATTCCCTCCACTATATATTTATCAAATGGATATGCTAGATTATCCCTTGAACTCGATGATACATGTATGTGCAACTAAGCTCCTTCGCATGCAAGGTGCGACTAATTCGAAATTTGAGCAGAACTTTAAAATTTTTTATTTCTCTATGGTTGGATAGAGCGAGCAAAACTGCATTGAAAAATGCTTTCCTTTTAATTTTAAAGTCTATTTTTACCAGAGAAACAATAGAAATACTTGGTTACCCTGATTTCTTAGAAACCGGCCCAGTTTTCCAAAGGGGAAAAATAGTGTTTGTTTTTCCTTCTTCTAACATTTTCAAGCTACTATTTTCTCATACAGTGTGCAAAACTGCCTATAGAAACTCAACTTTGATAATATTCAAATATAATATCATCGATATTTGTTCAGACCGAATAGAACTCGTTCACATGCTTTGTTGGATATGTTGCAAACCTATCTGGTTTGTTTTGATGAGATTTCAAGCCAAGTTTAATATACCATTAGAAGCGCTTTGAAGCGAGCAACATAAGTAGTAATAGGCTTTTTAAAAAATTTTCTCCGTTGCCGAGAAATTTTGCTTTTCTGAAATTTTGGCGTTTTGCTCAAAAGGGATCATATTTCGCTATTTTCTCACTCAAATTAACTTTTTCGACAAAATTAAGAGCATATTCGGAATCAGCATACAAAACCAAGTTGAATGATGTGTCTTTCACATCATTTGGGAAACTTCGCATTTTCGACCCAAACTCGATTGCTTCGTTTTTGCAAAAACTTGGGAAAATTCAAAAAAATAAAACATTTTTTCCAGTAACGTGAAAGACACATCATTCAACTTGGTTTTGTATGCTGTGTTAGGCTCTCGTTTGGAGGGAAAGGTGACTTCTGCCCCAGACTACAACTCAGGGCGGAATACTATGTCAAAAGCCCAGGTCTGCTCTGGGAACGAGAACACAAACGTGAAATAATAGAAAAGACTTATCTAGTCTTGATATAATGAATGAGGATGTATATAGGGATGTATGAGGTTTTATTCACAATAAAACCAAAAAGACAATATAATAAAGATGTTGGGGATGAAAGACATAAAGAGGAAAACAATAACAAGATCAATAACAAGATCAACAAGAAGGAAGATGGAATAGGGAATGAATCATGTGAGAAAAAGGAAAAAGAATAAACACTGGATAGTCCATGGAAGATATATATATGTATATATATCTATATATAGAGGAAAGGAAAAGACCCATAGTGTACAACTGGACGTTAGCGGTAATAGAGTGATCTCTATTGACGCTAACAAAATTATTCAAATATCCCTTGGAAGGAACATTGGGTTCTTAAGGGTTAAGATTTGTCTCTATGCAAATTTTCAAATCGAAATAATCTAACAGATATTTGCGTGAAAGATTGAATTATTATTTCAATTTATAGTTTGGTGTTTCTTTTTTGTTATAATGTACTGTTCTAAATTTGTATTTTAGCAAGTGTTATGTTTGCATTTATTGATCGTTCAATTGTAAAAAAAGTTGTAAACTTTTTACCTCGAGTTGGTGTTGGTGGTCGTTATGGTTTACCACAACAACGGTTAGAGTAATTATTTAATAATATTTATTTTTCTATTAATTTTATTTAGACGAACATCATTAGCATCAGCAAAACAATTATTTCGTTCAGCAAATATGACTCAACGATGGCAAAGACGAGAAATTTCAAATTTTGAATATCTTATGTATCTTAATACAATTGCAGGTATGATTAAATAAAGATTAAAAACAAAAATTTTTTACATTTAAAATATTTTTTAGGTCGAACATATCAAGATTTAAATCAATATCCTGTATTTCCATGGATTATAGCTGATTATGAAAGTGAAAAACTTGATTTAAATTCTCCATCAACTTATCGAGATTTATCAAAAGTAAAATTTAAATTATTTTTATTATCTATTCTTGATTTATTTTTCTTTAGCCAATTGGTGCATTAAATCCTATAAGAAAATCATTTTTTATTGAACGTTATAATAATTGGGAATCTGATACAATACCACCATTTCATTATGGTACACATTATTCAACAGCTGCATTTACACTTGGTTGGCTTATTCGACTTGTTAGTTTGAATATAATTATATTTAAATGAATCGAATAGTTTTCTTGTTTTTTTTTAGGAACCATTTACAACATTTTATTTAAATTTACAAGAAGGAAAATTTGATCATGCTAATCGATTATTTCATTCAATACCATTATCATGGCAAAATTGTCAACGTGATTCATCAGATGTTAAAGAATTAATACCGGAATTTTTTTCTCTACCTGAAATGTTAACAAATTGTAATCATTATAAATTAGGACGAACTGAAGATGAAATTAAAGTTGATGATGTTATTTTACCTAAATGGGCACAAACACCAGAAGATTTTATTCGAATTAATCGAACAGTAATAAAAAACAAGAGAAATTTTTTTGAAGAAATAAAAAAAAATTCTTTTTTTTTTAGGCATTAGAATCTGAATTTGTTTCATGTCATTTACATCATTGGATTGATTTAATTTTTGGTTATAAACAAAGAGGTTTATTTATAGAAGATTAATATTATTTTAATAATTGGTATATGTTTTTTTGTTTTTAGGACCTGAAGCTGTTCGTGCTGTTAATCTTGATTCAATAACAAATCCAACAGATCGTGCTGCTATTGAAACACAAATAAGAAATTTTGGTCAAGCACCAGCACAACTTTTAACTGAACCACATCCACCAAGAAATTCAGCAATGAATTTAGTAAGACAATAAAAAACAACAAACACTTTATGTTTTTTTTTTAATAATTCTTTTTTTGTCTATTTTAGACTCAAATGATGTGTAATGTGTAGGTAGTTTTTTTTCTCAAAGAAAGAAAAAATACTTTAAATATTTTAGTACACCAGAAGATGTATCAATGATAATGAAATTTTCATCAAATGCACCTATTATTCATGTTTCTGCTAATACAAATCCAACACTTTCCATACAAGCTATTATTACAATTAGTAATAAACATGATTTTTCTATAAATAAATATCATCCAAATGCTAATACACCAACACAAACTTATCCTGAATCATCACAAACATCAATACATCAACAAACACAATTACCATTAAGCGTGGATTCAATATTAGGTAGATTAATTCTATAGTCAAACTTTTTATACATATTAATTTGAATAATAGTTATTCAATATTCAAAAATAACAATAACAATAAGAATATCTTTTTTTTAGTATCAAATATAAATTTAAATCGTCGTAATTTGGGTGATAATTTTGATGAACGTATTCAACAACGACATCAAAGTTTTGTTGTTACTGCTGATAATCGTTATATAATATCAACTGATTAGTGGGATAAAAGTTTTCGTGTACAAAATACTGATATAGCGAAAATTACAAAAGTAGTCTATGGTCATTTTGATATTGTTACATGTGTATGTCGTTCAGAAGTAACTATTGCTGGAAATTGTTTTCTTGCAACTGGTTCACGTGATTGTACAGTTTGTATTTGGATATGGAATGGTACAAAAGGTGAAATAGTTGATCGTGCATATCCAAATCAAGGTTATAGTTAAATTTAAAAAAAAATCAATATATTATTACTAGCGAGAGCCCCTGCATACTGCATGGCTGTTTTTTCTTTTCACGTATAACTTAAGATGTTTAACTTTTCATTCAAGAACAGACATACAGACATTCGATATTATGTATGTAGATAGACAGTCCTACGGTCTCATACTCTTATATCACACGTATTTTTATAGTCCATGTAGTCTTCGACCTTATAGCTTTGTATTCCTTGTAGCCATTGTAGCCTTATCCCCTTGAGAATCTATGGCTATGCCCATATTATAGCTCTTCATGTCCTATAGATATACCATATAATAGCCCTTGAGGACCTATGGATTTCCCTATATAATAGCCCTTAAGGCCTTCCGCTTATAGGACTATTTGACTTTAAACCTTTAACCTTGGCCGTGGGCACAGAGACATCAGACAGACACTGAACAATATATATATATAGATTTTTTTGTATTTATATAGAAATCAATCCATCACCAGCAGCAGTTTTAACTGGTCATGATAGAGAAATCACATGTTTATTGATATCAGCTAACTTGGTATTGTTTTAAGTGGTAGTGAGCAAAGTCTTGTACTTCAACATACACTTAATGGTGATATATTACGTTCATTTGAAAATCCATCAAAAATATCTACACCACGTCTATTATCACCATCAAATGATGGTGATATTATTCTTTGTTATGATCGTTCAAAATTATTTTTATATACATTAAATGGAAAATTAATGAGACAAGCAATATTTGAAGATGAAACTATTCAAGTAAAAGCAAAACAAAAAAAAAGACAAAAATAATTCTTTTTTTTTTGTTTTATTTTTGTCTAGTGTATGGTTTTAAAGGTTGATAGTCAATATACAGTTATTGGTGGTGATCGAGGTTTTGTACAAATCATTCGAACACATGATTTACAACCTGTTTATGCTTATCCACAATGTGATGCTAGTATTCGTTCATTAGCAATAACTCATGATCAAAAGTAAAAACAAATGATTATTATATAATAACTAACTAAAGAGTTCTTTTGTTTCTTTTTTCTCACTATCATATTTTATATAAATTTTTATGTATGCAGAAAAATATATATATATATATTTCTTTATTTAATTTAGATATATCATGGCAGGTCTTTCTACAGGTTGTTTGATTGTATTTAATGTTAATTTTAATGTTCTTAATCAACCTCGACGTGATTCTGGAACCCCTACTGCAAATGTTTAATAAAAAATGTTTTCTGTTTGTTTTTGTTTTTCGTAGTGTAATTGTTTTTTGACTATTAATATTTTAACACATTTTTTTTCCTCTGCGCTTTCATTTGAGGCTTTTTTTCTTATAGACATTCCAAATTCATTGAGTTTATATGGTTCTTTATAAAAGAAAAGATCCATGGTTTCATTTTTGTTTTGAATAGGTGAGAACGGCTGCTACATCAAGTAGTATTTTTTTTTTGTTTTTGTGTTTGATTTGTTGGGTGGGAAATAAGAAAGCCCCAGTGATATTCATTTTGTTGTTGGTGTTTATCGTATTTATCTAGGTTAATTTGCAACGTGCATGCTAAAAAAAAAAAGATAAAAATCTTTAACAATATCACGATCTTAAATATTTCATTTGTCTGTGCATTTTTATTTTTACTTATGCTTATAAACGGAGTTCACCGCATTCCTTTTTTTGTTCTTATGTTTCTTAAGCTTCAAAAAAAAATAAAGCAATTCAATAACTATTCATATACTTCGCACATAAAATAAAAAATTATTTGCAATAATCAAATAGTTATCTGTATAATTGGTTTTAGATTATTCTGGTAAATTGACAAGTTAAAGAATGACAGCAGCAACTGGTAAATGAATTTGTAAATAGTAAATTATTGAAAAAATTTGTATCTACAAAGAAGTAATGAATCAATCCTTTTGCCGCAGCAGATCTTCCCCTAACCGAGAACTCAGCTTTTGGCTTAAGAGTTATGAGATACGTTATATTAGCAAGTTTTTGTATAGAACAGAAGGTGAGATTGATCCTTACAAAATTATATCAGAATAAAAAGTTTGAGAACCAATTTGCAGACTTAGACAAAGCCGGTTCATAACTCTTAAATAATGTTGTTAAATTACTTTTCAATAACTCCAATGATAAATTCAAAGAAGAATCTATAAAATATATGCTTCTATAAAGGTGACCAAAAGAAACAATACGT